AGAGCCGCGGGGGCTGCTGCCGGGTTGGTCCCCTAGCACCGCCCCTCGGCGCTGCGGGACCAACCCGGCAGCACCCCAGCTGCTCTGGCCCGGGCTTTCTGGAGTCAGCCGCTGGTCAGTTTCAGCAGCCGCTGAATCGGGGAAACTGGGGGCAGAGCAGCCCCAATTGTCCAGCACTTTCGGGTTCCAGATGGTGCCGGACCATTGGATGCCGGACCACTGGAGTTTTACTGTACTATGGGGAAGAAGACTGCTGCTTCCCATTTATTTTTATTAGTTTATGTTTAACAGGTGCTTCCTAACTATGAGGTTCTGTTGTATTGATTATCCCAGTATTGTATAGTGTTCTCACACCTTCCTCTGAAGCATGATGGATCTGTAGCACTGTTATCTGCAAAACCTTTTTATTCCTTTTATTAATTAATCTCTTTTATTCCATGTAATCTCTCTGGCTAATATTTAACCCTGCATTCATCTTTTTATAGTCTTTGTTTAGTATGTTTTATGTTTATATTACCAGTTATTGCTCAAGAGCCAAATGAATATTCTGTGAAAGTGCTAAAAGCTCTTTAGTGTACCTACTGGTGTCTGCTTTTCTAATCAAGAGCAAGTAAACAGTTTGTCTGGATTGTCTGTACCTGAGATGCAGAAATTTTAATATCTGGTGGCGGTTTTCCACTGAATATTTCTTTGTAGGTGGGATAAATGCAATCGAGAAGGAAGATGTTACTCATAATCGTGGGATGCCTGTAATCACAGAAGAGGAGAATTCCAGTGAGGAAGGTATGGCTGCAGTCCTCAAATCTGAGGTGTGATTATCGTAACTAATTACTGTCTAGGGGTTTTTTTGCAAATTCATTTGTAGTTCTCACAGTACCAAACGTGCAACTAAGAACCCTACCACAGTACCAAAGGTGCAACTAAGAACTCTACCCAGTAGTATTACAACTACTGCAGTGCTGATTTTCCTATCTTGTCATCATAGCGAGACTATTTTTATATCTGTAAGTTTATTTCTGTAAAATAGTACAAGGCTTTACCAAACACATGAATAATAATGTAATGCTATCTGCATCTTTCCCATGTTGTTCTTATATTTCCCATGTTGTTTGCTATATTTAGTGCAGTCAGAGCAAAGAGTGTGCTCAGGTGAAAGGAAGCTATTTATTCTTGGTGAATGCTGTAGGTGAACTTACTATACTTATGTTTATTAAAAGGGAGAATAAAATCTCTTTCAAGTGCTCTCCCACTTACTAAAAAGTTGCTTTAGTTGCAAGGTAGTCCGGAGGCTGCTCTACTTTGCATTAGAAGCCAAACTAGCCCTGGTTTGCCTTTCAGAACATAAAAGCACCCATCCCTTGGGTCACGTTTAAAGCATACCTCTGTCAAACCAAGACTCACACTTGTATACTTGGAGTAAGGATTTTCTCTGCAATATTAGAGACCGAATGGCAAGGAAATGATGTGATTCCATTAGTAATGGAAAATAGGGAAGATGATTTTTATATCCTTCATCTGTTTGTGTCATTAAGGAGAATATAGCTTTTATTTTCAAGTAAAAGGCTACCTTAGCGTAGAGAACTTCCATTGAAGCTGATCCACAGAAATTATAATTGCACTTAGGGAATTACCAAAATGTCTCAGTTTTCAGTGAGTTGACCAGCGATCAGAAGCTTTTATGGAAAATTTTCCACTGTGTCCAAGTATAGCTCAGTCATGGTGGAACTGGAGGCTGTCAGGAAGTAATGGCAGCTTCCTGATTCTGCACCACCCAGTGCAAGTTAGAGTTGCTCCTTCATGCCTTGGGATGATTGAGTATAGCAGCAGTACTTGCCACACCTCTAAACCTGACATCTCTGGGGTGGATAGGTGGTGCAATAATAGAGGAGAAACCTTCTATTGGCTATCTCCAGCCTCATTAAGGTCATTTTATACCATGTACACAGAGCAAAATGGACTTTTAATGGACCAAAAAAATCTAACCATTAATACGAAAGGCCAAGGTGACACTGAGGCTACCTAAATAAGTGGGAAAGGTGACGGATAATTTATTGACAGGCTTAAGCTAGTGGCATGTGTGGGGTAAAGTCCTTGTGGGGTCAGCATTATAGAGCGCTATATTTAATACAGTTTCATCTATACAAAGGGAAATAAGGACAACACAGGAAACTACAGCTGAGTCAGCTTAACTTTTTTACCATGAAAGATAATGGAGCAAGTAATTAAGGAATCAATTTGCAAACATCTCGAAGATAAGGTGATAAGTAACAGTGGACATGGATTTGTAAAGAACAAATCATGTCAAACCAACCTGATAGCTTTTTCTGGACAGGATAACAAGCCTTGTGAATAAAGGAGAAGTGGAAGATGTGGTATATCTAGACTTTAGTAAGACATTTGATATAGTCTTGCATGACATTCTAATAAATAAACTAGCGAAATACAAACTATGGTTGTCTGAATAAACTTTAAAGTACAATAATTTGTTCCCATAGTGCCAGTTGATACTTAAAGGGGTACATTGTTAATATTTTGAATAAAAATTGTATATTGTAGCTTTTATTTGTCTGTCTTCTAAAAACAATCATCTGACAAGCTGTTGAACCTCTTGTATCTCTTGTCAGATCTTCCACGCCCAAAGAGGAGAAGAACCCGTTAAGAAAGGATCAGGGTGAAGAATTTCTTATATGAATTAGACTGTCAAATGTATAAATGTCTAACACAACTTTGTAAATGGTTTGATTTGGTCATCTCTGTGCAGCCATACCAAATGAAGGCACAAAGCAAAAATTGCTCTGACGAGAACTACAAGTTATGTGGAACTATAAATAGGAACTTCAGCATATGTTGTGTAATATTACAACCCAGGTGAAGGTAGAGTGGAACAGAAACATTTTCTCCAAAAAGTAAAGCTAAATTATGTGTGCCCTTGTACTGTGGAATTGGTGGGGGGCAGAGAGCTGGGGTGTTTCATTTTTGTTTTGTATAGCTTTTGCCCCATGAGTGCATGTTTATAACTTATTCCTGGTTAAAGCAAATAATTATCTTTTAACAGAATCTTCTAAGAATATTGACTATGTATACTGTACAGATGAGTATTTTTGTATTTGTAGTACTCCTACAACTTCTGACCATAACTGTTACTTTTGTATTGTTAATCACCACCTAAGATTACTAAGTGCAATAAAGATTTTACTAAATTTGTATGCTCCATTTCAATGTGCACAACTTATGTAAACATGTAGCTCACTTTAGCTCATAATGATGTAGTGTTTAGAAAGGCAAGCCCAGATTGAGTTGTGGTAAAACTTCTTACAGGATTCTGTCTCGTGATCAGTTTCAAAAGCACAACCCAGGTCTACTATAGACCTGGAAAGTTGGCTTAAGGTATGCAACTCCAGCTACATAAATAGTGTAGCTGGAATCTACGTACCTTAAGCTGAGCTTGGTGCTGTCTTCTCAGTGGGAGGTCGATAGGAGCAAATGCTTTCTTGGTATGAAAACTAAACAGCACTAAGATGGATTCTTTAAAATTGTTTAACAATTAAAAAAATTCACAATTATCAAAGTGCAGGTGCTTGTTCCGTAAAGCAAATGGAAGCATATGAGTGGAAGAAACTTTTGAGTATAAACACAAACTTACTTTTCTATTAAATTTTACTAATGGTTATCAACACAAAGGTCAAGAGTTGGTAGGCAGCTAAGAGTTAAGATTCACAATACTTGGCCAACATTGCAAAAGAAGCCTTTCTTAAATTACAATATGATTTGCAGCTAGTAGTTACTGAAAGCAGGAGAGGCATTTCCTGAGAAGTCCTTTAATAGACTGACGCTTTATGGTACGGTTGTGACATTACCTAGAGAACCACCAGGACAAATGTGTCCCCTCAAATCTTCAACCAGTTGTGCCTTTTACCCTGCTTCATTGCAAGAGCAACCGTTCCTGGTCCTGTTCACATGCAGCTGCTAACATGTAAAATCAGTTCCAATGTGCTACATGAATGCTCAGGCTAGTCTGTCATGAATTACATACAGGGTGACACCAGCAACTTCCCAGTCCCAGCTCTTCCTCTCCAGAAATGTGCCCCTTGTACTGCCTATTGCCCTCCTGGACAATGCAAGTTTGTAGAAAGTCTGTTATTTCATGGAAATCGTGGGAAAGTGATGTACACAAATCCTGTTGTCTCAAATGAAGGTTCCTAAACATTTCAATCTAAACATACACTGGTTAAGATGAAACAAAACAAGTTTATTAACTACATAACGATTTTAAATAATTACAGGTAATGAGGCATCAAAGTCAGAATTGCTTGAAAAGAAAAAATAAAATACTAATACCGAATTTAATAAGGCAAAATAAGCAAAGGTTTTTTTTTTCCTCCCCCTCACCACATATTTTTTCCGGTCTTGACTGGCTGAAAGCCTTCTAGCCAAGACCCCTCCTCTAGGTCAGTATTCTTCCAGGTGGTGTTGCTGCCATGAGCAGAGGAATGGAAGAGAGAGAAGTAATTTGTGTAGTCTTCATTTGTATACCTTTTTAGTAAACTCTCATGATTTTTCTTTGAGTCTCATGAGAATTGTTTTCCTTGAAGCCCTAACTTCCGGAGTCAAGTGGTTACATGATGATTTCAGTTTTCATAATTAAAAGAGGTTTCTAACCCTTGTTGCTATGGGAAAAGTTTCATAATGTTACCTCAGTGCACCATAAAGGTTCAAAAAGTAGAACGCAAATGAAAAAAACACCAAACTGTTTTTTTCTTAGTCCCATGATTTTAAAACCAATCATGATTTTGGCAAGTCTTGCTCATGATTTTTGAACATTTGAGGGGTGGCAATTCTGCTTTTTCTGTCCTTTGAAAATTAACTCCAGCTGGGGTTCAGGCAACAGTAAGTCTGTTTTGGACAGGAACTCCTAGCTTTTTATTTGTCAATATGTAAATTTCTTGCTTGAGCTGGGGTTCAGGCAACAGTAAGTCTGTTTTGGACAGGAACTCCCAGCTCTTTATTTGTCAGTATGTAAATTTCTTGCTTATGCCCATCTGCCAAAGAACGATTTGTTAACTAGCTGATAGTCCCCTTTTGACTTTGACACCTGTTTTGTCTTTTGTGTCTGAGGAACTGGTTTGTGTCTCCTTTTCTAAACTTCAGGTATGTTATAGTAATGTTATTGAGTAGAATCTTATAACTTTACATGCAAGGTTGATACATATATTTTTACCATGAGAATAATGAGTAGTGGATTGTGAGTTTTCAAATGCTACCTTACACAGCATACTTTATACAAAATATAGTGTAGTCTTGTATAAAGGGTGAATATGGGGTACAGTCTGTCACAGCTATTGCTGCAGTCTCTGACATAAACCAAGCAACATTACATTCTAATACCTAGCTCTTCTCTTGATTTATATTCTAGCCTAACAATGGTCAAAGGCAGCTAGAGAATTTGTTTTCTGTCCCTCCACAAGTCTGAAAGTTAGGTCTAAATAGCTAGTAAATTTTGTTGATTTTATAAACATATGATTGTATTTGCTTACTTCTGCATTTAGAATCAGAGAAATTTAGGGCTGAAAGGGACCTTGTGAAGTCATCAAGTTTGGCTCCCTGTGATGAGGTGGGATGAAGAAAACCTTCCTAGACCATCTCTGAAAGATGTCTAACCTGTTCACAAAAGCTGCCGGTGATGGGGATTCCACAGCCTCCTTTAGTCTCTATTCCAGAGTTTAGGATAATCTCTTTTTATAAGGATAGTTAATGGTTCCTTTGCTGCAGATGAAGCCCATTATTTCTTTTTCCACCTTCATTGGCAATGGAGAGCAATTGATCACCATCCCTGACAGATGTCTATCTAACCTGTTCTTAAATATCTCCAGAGAGGGAGATTCCACCACCTCCCTTGGCAATTTATTCCAATATTTGACCACCCTGACAGTTAGGAATTTTTTCCTAATGTCCAATCTAAACCTCCCCTGCTGCACTTTAAGCCCATTACTCCTTGTCCTGTCCTCAGAAACCAAGAGGAACAAATTTTCTCCTTCCTCCTTGTGACACCCTTTTAGATATTTGAAAACCGCTATCATGTCCCCCCTTAATCTTCTTTTTTCCAAACTAAACAAGCCCAGTTCATGAAGCCTGGCTTCATAGGTCATGTTCTCTAAACCTTTAATCATTCTTGTTGCTCTTCTCTGTACCCTTTCCAATTTCTCCACATCTTTCTTGAAATGTGGTGCCCAGAACTGGACACAGTACTCCAGCTGAGGCCTAACTAGTGCAGAGTAGAGCGGCAGAATGACTTCACGAGTTTTGCTTACAACACACCTGTTGATACAACCTAGAATCATATTTGCTTTTTTTGCAACAGCATCACACTGTTGACTCATATTCAACTTGTGGTCCACTATGACCCCTAGATCCCTTTCCGCCATGCTCCTTCCTAGACAGTCGCTTCCCATCTTGTATGTATGGAACTGATTGTTCCTTCCTAAGTGGAGCACTTTGCATTTCTCTTTATTAAACTTCATCCTGTTTACCTCTGACCATTTCTCTAACTTGCTAAGGTCATTTTGAATTATGTCCCTATCCTCCAAAGAAGTTGCAACCCCACCCAGTTTGGTATCATCTGCAAACTTAATAAGCGTACTCTCTATCCCAATATCTACATCATTGATGAAGATATTGAACAGTACGGGTCCCAAAACAGACCCTTGAGGAACTCCACTTGTTATCCCTTTCCAGCAGGATTTAGAACCGTTAACAACAACTCTCTGACTACGGTTATCCAGCCAATTATGCACCCACCTTATCGTGGCCCTATCTAAGTTATATTTGCCTAGTTTATCAATAAGAATATCATGTGAGACCGTATCAAATGCCTTACTAAAGTCTAGGTATATGACATCCACCGCTTCTCCCTTATCCACAAGGCTCGTTATCCTATCAAAGAAAGCTATCAGATTAGTTTGGCATGACTTGTTCTTCACAAACCCATGCTGGCTATTCCCTATCACTTTATTACCTTCCAAGTGTTTGCATATGATTTCCTTAATTACCTGCTCCATTATCTTCCCTGGGACAGACGTAGAATTGTTTTCCTTGAAGCCCTAACTTCCGGAGTCAAGTGGTTACATGATGATTTCAGCTTTCATAATTAAAAGAGGTTTCTAACCCTTGTTGCTATGGGAAAAGTTTCATAATGTTACCTCAGTGCACCATAAAGGTTCAAAAAGTAGAACGCAAATGTCAGCTCCTTGAGTATCCTGGGATGCATTTCATCAGGACCTGGTGACTTGCTGACATCTAACTTTCCTAAGTGATTTTTAACTTGTTCTTTGTGTATCCTATCTTCTAAACTTACCCTCTCTCTGTTTGTATTCACTACGTTAGGCACACCTCCAGACTTCTCGGTGAAGACCGAAACAAAGAAGTCATTGAGCATCTCTGCCATTTCCAAGTTTCCTGTTACTGCTTCTCCCTCCTCACTGAGCAGTGGGCCTACCCTGTCCTTGGTCTTCCTCTTGCTTTTAATAATGTATTTATAAAAGGTCTTGTTTCCCTTTATGCCTGTAGCTAGTTTGATCTCATTTTGTGCCTTTGCCTTTCTAATCTTGCCCCTGCATTCCCATGTTGCTTGCCTATATTCATCCTTTGTTATTTGTCCTAGTTTCCATTTTTTTATAGGACTCCTTTTTTTATTTTGAGATCATGCAAGATCTCCTTGTTAAGCCAAGCTGGTCTTTTGCCATATTTTCTATCTTTCCTACACAGCGGAATATATAACAGCCCTTAACATAGGTCAAGACTTAGTTCTCCAACTCAGTCTTTACATTCTAATACCTAGCTCTTCTCTTGATTTATATTCTAGGCTAACAATGGTCAAAGGCAGCTAGAGAATTTGTTTTCTGTCCCTCCACAAGTCTGAAAGTTAGGTCTAAATAGCTAGTACATTTTGTTGATTTTATAAACATAAGATTGTATTTGCTTACTTCTGCATTTAGAATCAGAGAAATTTAGGGCTGAAAGGGACCTTGTGAAGTCATCAAGTTCGGCTCCCTGTGATGAGGTGGGATGAAGAAAACCTAGACCATCTCTGAAAAATGTCTAACCTGTTCACAAAAGCTGCCGGTGATGGGGATTCCACAGCCTCCTTTAGTCTCTATTCCAGAGTTTAGGATAATCTCTTGTTATAAGGATAGTTAATGGTTCCTTTGCTGCAGATG